CCCAGTGCATGTATAAACAAAACAAACAAAATAAATAAATAAATAAAACATGCCTCTATAAAAAAAAAAAAAAAGATTTAAAAATAAATAAATAAATAAATAAACACAATACAACACTTAAAAGCCACATGAAATGTTTTGTTATTTTAGCCTCTGCACAATGGACAACTTCCTTGCTTTATAAAGTTTGCATAGTCAATGTTTTTTGCATAATAACTTAAAAAAATGACTGTATGGTATACTTATTGCACTTATTGCAAGGTGTTGATACATTAAAATTAATTGAATAAAGAAACAAGCCAGCTCATTAGCTAGTAGATGAATGGTCTCTTCCCAAGTTAATTATTGAGTGAAGATTTTCTGTTTTAAGAACAGAAGTATCACTAAGCTTTTTCATATAGCAGATACTCATATTTCAGCCTCATTATAATTTAAAATGCCATTCCAATATGCTTGGGGTTTTGCCAGCAGATAGCTCTGTGGTGGAGAGCATGCTCTATGAGGCTGTCACAGCACTGCCTGTATAACCTCTGACCTTGCCTGGCAGTTAAGTGTCTCAGCCTCACCAGCAGGCTGTGCTGTGTCAGCGAAAGCCAACTCAGTTGCCTGGTTTTCTTTTTATCTTGCACTCTGTTTTGTGATCTTCACTTTATATTCTGCAGAGAGAGATAAAGACTAAGATGTACAAGCACCAGTCATTAAAGGATCAATCTTGGCATTGTATACGTTGTTGAATCTTCATAACAAACCTATGAAATAGGTGTCACTCTCCCCCCTTCACATAGGAGGAAACAGGCACAGAGTATTTCATTTCCCCTGGTGTTCTACAGCAGTTAGATAGCGGAAAGCCAGGAGTGAGACCCAGTTGCTACTCCAGAACCCAGTACATCATGTCTCTGCAGTCCTGGCTTCCCCCACCCTGCCTAAGATTATGTTATTTGAGAAGTTTAAGTGTCTGTATTAAATACTCATGCCCACCTGGTATTATATTGGCTTATGTATAATAGTTTTGAACATAGCCTGTTCGGCTGCCTTTTATCTTCAACCAAAAATAGTTCATACCATTATAGGCAGCTATAAAAAATTACATGCCCCAGACAAAGTGATCAGGAGGTGAAAACAGAATCCCCTGGATAATTAAAAAGCTAAAATAATATGTAAACCAAGTAGCATTTCTAAATTAACTCTTTGTCTTTTTCTTATAAAACTAAGATGGGAAAGAAATCTAAACTATATAAGAAGTAGCAACTTTCATCTAACTTTGTATTATGATCTTTGCATGTAGCCATTTGATTTGCACAAGCTCTTTTGTGTATATTAGAGGAAAGAGGTGCTTCCTCTGTCATGTCCCATTTTCTGTCCTTGGCTCAAGGGGATGAATCACTGTCTCTAGAGGCTTTTGCCTCCCATTCTTTTCTGTGCAATTAAAGTACAGAAAAGTGTTAGTAGCTTTTGCTGCATGCCAAAGAGAATTCCTTCTTAATTGGTCTCCTACTGTAGGCTGCACTTCCAACTATAGCACTTACTGATAATAAGTAGAATAATAATACCTGCCATATATCGAAGAAGGCTGTGTGCCAGAAATTCTGCATGATAATTTATAAACTTTGTTAGTAATTCTCACTTAGTTAAGGGACAGCATTGTAACCCCTTTATACAGATGAGTGTACACATTGTTAAAAAGAATAAGGATTCAACTAAGTAGAATAAGGTTTCAAACCTAGGTTGTCTGGCTCCAACTCTGTGTTCTCACTCCATTAATTAGTACCCTGTCCACCCTACCTCTGTACAAACTCAAGAATCTTTCTTTGAGCCTCCCTCAGGGGAAAATCTGAGACCAGAGCTCATTTGTATTTTGTCACTGTAGTTTCATTTTCTAAAAAATTCCCAGGTTTTTCGTATACTTTTAAAGTCTACAGATTTTTGTGTATGATGAAAGGATTTGTGTACATGTCAGAGAAGTCATGAAAAAATCTAGAATAGGAATACAGTGTAATTTTTAAGTAAATTCCTTTTGTTTTTCATTGCAAGTGAATTCTGGTATTTCTAATGGTATTTTCTCTATGTTTTAAAAATTTATGGTCTTTTACACCAGTAGATAGGTGTGTGTGTGTATATATATATATACATATATATATATGTATATATATATGTTTTCTAAAGTAACAACATACATTATTTTTTAACTTCATATTCTTATGCTTTAAAAAAATAATCATGTGGTGATTTAAATTTTACACATTCCTTTCATATTCTGGTCAGGTTGAGGGGCAAGATACTACGATGCCCCTCAGCCTATGTGCAAATGGAAACCCTATTCATTTAGCCAAGGAGAGAAAGAAGAGACATGTAACACATAGACAGTTCACAAAAAAATATATTAAAATAGGTCTCAGACATACTTGAAAATGTTCAAACTCATAATTAGAAAATTGCAGACTGAAATACCATTTCTCACCTGTCAGAATGAAAACTAAAAGATAATAACAACATAGTTTAGCAGTTGATGACTGGCAAAACTGGTTGCCTTATACTTTGCTGGTTGGGATACGGTTTAGCATAACCCTTCTAAAGGCAAATTTTGGTGATCCCTAAGAATCTATGCATGTACTTACCTTTTGGTTTAGCAAGTTGGCTTTTAAGAATCTACTGAAGATATGCATCCAATAATATAGATGTAAGGAAGCTGTGGGCTCTATGCCCACGTGATTGGAGATGTATCCATGAGGGCCCCGCAAAGCAGTGGGTGAGCACACCTAGCCCACAGAGCCAGCCCAGGTTTTAACATGTCCCTCCAAAAAGGAGCTGAGATTCCTTGGAGAAGCTGTTGATTTTAGGGGTAGGGCCGGGAAGCTACAAGCCGAGCCGGGAACATCTTGTGCTGCCAGAGAATAAAAAAGTGTTCAAAAAAGAATGAAGAATTTTAAAAAGAACCTAAGAGCCAGCCTCAGGCTGCTCCTAATTGCCAAAACTGGAACATTTTGACCAACACAGTAAGTGATGGTATTGGGTTTTTAGTCCTTCCAATAAAATAAATATCCATGAATTCAGACTGATATAAAATCAAAATAAATGGGAAAGGATGACTTTTCCTTTCAGAAGCATTCGAATTTCTCTGGACAGAAAAAGGGATAATAGAAAATCATCAGTAGATAAATACTATGAAACAATTTTTGGAAACAAAATCCATTGATGGATGCTAAAATAAACTGGCAAAACTTTGAGGAAGAACAAGACATTTCATAGCCTTGTGCCTATGCTAACCTGAGGACTTGCCAGGGGGCCAGAGGGAGCTGTTTCCAAGATGGCCAGCTCACAGCCGGAGTTCCTCCCCATAAAGCTGCTGGAGACCTTCAGAACCAAGGAGCTATGGATGACTGATCGGGGGAGAACAGAGCAGGGGGCATACGGCATTTTGTGACTTTCTCTGAAACACCCACCATTTTGGTAGATATTTTAAAGCCACAACACTGGGAAAGGACATCAGTATCTCTGGCTTGTGGTCCAGTAGTTCTTTTTTCTCCTAAGAGTGCTCCCAATTTTGGTTCCCCTTTTTGTAACTTGTTCCAGCTCTAGTCCCTCTAGCCCCGGGCAGTTGTACTGTTAGGGGACTAGCAGTGGAGAGGAAGTGTTAACCCTTCCCTCCCTGCCCTCTCGCACCAGGAACCCTTCCTTATCTCAACCTTGTAGAACCTCCTCCTACTCTCTGAAACCAATGGTCCAGAGTCCATCTGGGAACACATAGCCTTTATACAGACCTCTTTACAGCAATGATTGTATTGTGTTACAGCTATCATTTTTCATGACTGTCTTCATATCTATCATATTCACATCCGTATTTCCATTGGGTTTCTTTTGAAATGTAAATACACTTGAGAACCTCCTAATTAAGCTATCTGGGCCTCTGACTTTCCTAAACTGAAGAAGGACAAGGGGTAAGAGATCTCTGTCAACCTGGTTCCCATTTTCACCAGCAGAACTCCAGAATATGTTTCAAAGATTATGTTCTTGCTTTAGCAAGCAGAGGGTTAGCAAGGCCGCTGAGGACTCTTGTGTACCTCTGTGGTAATGGGACAAATAGCCCTACCCGGGGGGTGCTAGGAGTGGAAAGGGAAGCCGGGTATTCTCCAGCACAGGGCCTGCAGAAGGGGCTGACCCCTGCATGTGGAAGTCTCTCTGCTGCCTATGTTGACCAGATATGGCCTTTGAGCTCTTTGTGTCTTGTCTCCTCACTGATTCCTCCTCCAGTCTTTGCCCCCCCATTACCTAGCTACTTCTGGAAAACATCTGGATTTGACCTCTTTCTGATATACCTGTTCCTGTTGCAGACACTTCTTTTGGGGGCCCCTTTATCACCTCTTCTCATTCCTGATGCAACCCTTTCCATCTCTACTCACTAGCCTGCAGGTCTTGCCCACCTTTATATACCCGACTGGGAACTGGGATTAGGGGTTCCCTTTGTTTCTTCCTCCTCCTGTTTCGATGGCCTGTTTTATCCATTCCCACATATACCTGGCTCTTGAAACCCCAGCCCAGCCAGGGCCTGATCCCTAGCCCTTCTTTACCCCTCTTCCCATCATTCTGCCCAAGGGAAACATAGTAAATATTGATACCAGTACAGAAGGAGGCTCACTTAGGCTGACCTGCCAACTTGGCTTGTAGAACATTTTTTTCTTTGGAGAAAATGAAACTGCATATATGACCTACAATAAACTTTATTCTTAAATTAAAATTGTTTATTAAAAGTAATAGGATTTTTATGTGGGAAGCAAATTTAATAATGCTCTATTCCCAGTTATTTCATTTATCTCGAGAGCTAGGTAGGTTAATTTTTCTATAGTCATGATCTAATATTGCAGCTGACATCATTGCAGATACAGAGTTGAATCTTTCAGAATAAAAATTTTGAATTATATCCTAATTTTATGTTTTAAACTTTACACTGCACATTATATTGATGCATGCTTATAGAAATTATAGTACTTTTCTTTCTAATCCAGATTTAGGTCGCTCTCGAGAACTACAGTATGTGTACGTGGATAACAACATTCATCTGAAAGGATTGCCATCCTATCTGTACAATAAAGTCATCGGGTGCAGTGGGTAAGGCTGACTTCAGATTTTATTCTGCATCTCAACTCTTTTGCTAGCTTTGTTTCTCTTTGGCTAGTTTAGTTCCTACTTCATTACTGGTCCTGACATAACTCAGAAATAGATGAACTACTTTCAATAATCCTGTTCAATTTTGTTGATGGCCTTGATATACTAAACCAAATACCAATAGAGGTTAGGAATATTGGGCAAGAAATTCAGAGAATTGTACTTGAGTTCAGTTAACTGTGAGTTCAGTCAGTATGTTTTTATTATTTTCCAGTCAAAAGAAAAATGAATCCATGCGTTCCATCATAAGCTTAGTTGTACCAGTCACCGAAACTGGAAGAATCAGCATTAATTTAATAGCTTTTCTTTCTCTGCATTCCATTGCAGTAACAGTTTTACCACAGTACAGCCTGCATGTCTTGGATTTTACCAACTGGAAATACTCAGAACTCAACAATTAGAATAGCCCCTCAATGCAAATCATGATTCTAGCTACCAAAACAGATGCTTTGGTTAATGGGAAATGATAAGCTTTTATTTTCAATAAGCTTTGCAATAAGCAATATTTGCTATAAACTTATTTGCAATAAGTTTTCCTTCTCAGTGAGACTTTTGAAAGACAGCATTAGCTTCTCCTTCTACAACCCCCATAAAGGGTGGTGTGGAATTAGTTACAACGCCCAATGCCAAGAACCTGCTTTGCCTTGACCTCACTCTCCTCACCTAAGCAGCCCAGGGATACTTAGAACACCTCTGAGGCTTCTTAAACAGTATGTTTGACTCTCTCCTTATAATCCCCAACATTCTGAATAACCTAGTTCATCCTCTCCTGGCAAAAAAAAAAGATGATATGGTTGTACACAGAGATTGGCCATTCCCCTGATGGTGTGGGTCCAGGGGATGAGCACTGAGCAGTGATTACTCCAGAGAGGGCAGTCCTAGGAGCAGATGCCTTCCCGTAGGGAAACCTACATAGTTGTTATCTTGCAAGAGTCCTCGATGAGCTCAGTGCCTAGATAGCTGATGAAATCAAGCCCATAGATATACTCCAGAACCTTCTGTGAAGCAGTGATAATAGAATGTGTGGTAGAGTTTTTAGTTCAGTGATTTTTCTAAGCTGATTATGTGACATCTGTGATACTCTTCACTCATTACTCCTAATGAGTTCTTAAGGAATCTTTTATATAGACTAATTTTTCCAAGTGGTGAGTAAAATGACCTTAATTACCAAGACACTTGAATGATGCAAGAATGTACCAAGGCTGAAGGCAGTTTGTCCTATACCAAGGCCTTCAGAGACTGCATCAAAAAGTGATTGAAGGGCCTCCCCGGTGGCGCAGCGGTTGAGCGCTGGGTTGGGAGGCTGCCGGCAGTCTCTGCAGCGCCGGTTCAATCCCCGGCTGCTCCCTGGCCTCGGGAGGAGGGTCCCGCATGGCGCGCAGACCTCTCCTGCCGCCCGCTGCTCCCCTCAGCAGTGTACCTCGGTCCTTCTGCCTGCTCTGCTCCCCGCTCTGGCTCTGGTGAATTCTCTCTCCCTCCCGCGCTTCTGACTGTACCCAGTGCTTGTATGTATCAATCAATCAATCAATAAATAAATCTTTAAAAAAAAAAAAAAAGTGATTGAAGTCTGTACCAAAACTAAGGAATAGCTTTTACTTAACATAAAGAGCCTTCTAATTTGGTATTTAGATATGAGTGTTATTGACTGTCAGAAAGTTCTATGTGTGCAGAGAGATGTTTTTTAATCTTTGACTTGGTGCCTGGTAGAAGAGATAGTGAATTTTATGAGAGCTTCCAATCTTTGAGAAAATAAATAATTGCATCTTTTATGACCTAGTCGTAAAGTCACACACTGTCACTTCTGTTTTACCTACTGATTTCACAGGTCAATTCTATTCATTGTGGGAGGTGACTATATAAGGGAGTAAGCAAGACCTCTCCTCAGAGAATCATGGGAACCATCCTGGAGGCTGGCAGTTACAGCTTCCTTACATCCACTGCTCTTTTCCTCATGGAAAACTATGGTTTCTGCTTTGTCTGGGTCCTTCCTTATTATTACTCTAGAAGTAAATGTCTTCACTTACATATTTTACCCAGAAAGATATAGCCCTCCCATGTTAAACTTTTAGAAAAGTGGTAATAGGCATTTTTGCTTACTCAGAAGAGTTTAAAGGCAAAGATGATTCTATACTAGTTGTTTTTCTAATTTTCTGATTATATAAGGAAAAAAAGCAATCAATATATGAGAAAAATAAGCAACCAAGACAGTGCTTATTTTTTTGTGAAAATAAGCATTTATAACTGGATCTGGATACAAATTGGTTAATTGACTTGATTAAGTGCTTAATATAGTCATTCAGGGTAACCGAATTCTTTATATGTGAAATGCATTCAGAGTTCTGAGTTATACCCCAAAATAAAAATTAAACTAAAAAATAGATTTAAGTTCAGTCTATTTTTATGTGGGAACTACCTACACACCCCAAACAAGAAGTATTAGGTACCTGAATCACACCTCTATGGGGGCTGGCTACATATAAAAAAACTGGAGTGTAATTTCAGCTACTACTCAAGATACAGTTTGCAGTTAGATTCCAGTGAAGTAATTAATTGCCTGCCAAAGTAAAAATACCACAACTACTTTTAAGCTTTAGAGGAATATAACAGAATCCAGAGTCTCCACAATATAACTCTTGCAATGTCCAGGATATAAGAGAATTACAAGACATATAAAAGTAAGAAAATGTGACCCATTCTCAAGGGAAAAGGCCATCAGCAAAGATTAACCTGAGTTAACCCAAAATGTTGAAATTGTCAGACAGGAATTTTAAGGTAGCTATTCTTAATGAAGTAAAGAAAAACAGGTTTACAATGAATAGAAAGACCAGAAAATAGAAACAATAAAAAAGAAACAAGTGGAAATTCTATAGTTGAAAAATACAATTTGTGAAATAATAAATATACTTATGATGCTGTTTTTGGAGTTAATCCTAATTGTATACAAAAGAAAAATAGTGAACTGGAAGTCTGAAATAATCCATTCTGAAGAGCACAGAGGAAAAAAAAGATCAAAGACAAAAATGAGCACAAGTATCAAGGATTTTCTAGATAATATTAACAAGCCTGATATATGTATTATTAGCATCCAAGGAGAACAGAGAGTGAGGTGGCGCACCAACAGAACTGTTTGAAGAAGTAATGTCCAAAAACTCCCAAATAAGATGAAAGACAAATTTACATTTTCACAATACTCAGCAAACCTTCAGCAGCATAAATTACAAAGAAAATCATGCTTAGGCAGAACTGCTGAAAACCAAAGATAAAAAGAAAACCTTGGAAGCAACCAGTAAAATGACAAATTACATACAAAAGAAAAATTCTGAAGCCTGTTACCCTCTAATCAGAAATTTTGAAGGCCAGAAAACAGTGGTACAAACATTTTTTAAATACTAAAGAAAAAAAAAAAGTCAATGTAGCAACTAGGAAAAATACCCTTCAAGAGTGAAAGCCATGAATGCATTCAGATGGAACAAAGCGTAGCCTTAAAGGAGTCTCTGCCCCCTTGGGTTTTTTCAAACCAAGGCTTGTTTCACCTGAGTGGCATAGTATCTTTCTTCTCCATATCTACTTCTCCCCTTTCCTTTTCACCTTATTTGAAGCTGAGACAAACTCTTTTTGCTAAAAAGGTAGCAGTACCCACACTAATGAGCATGTGGATGACATAGTATACTTTCTAAAGGATAAAAGATAGTTCTTTGGGTGGTCTCAGTAAGGGAATTTAAACTACTCCTTTACTTTTAACACATTGTTTGGTGAAGTGATAGATGTAAAAATGCATATGAATTAATTTGTTAAAGCATAAGAATATTTGGGAACATAATCTCAGTGACAAAATGATGTCACTACTCATTTAGCTTGTTTCGAGTTAAATGTTGAATGGCATCTCTGATTCAAACCAAGGCTTGTTCTCTGAAACATTGACTTGAAAGGAATTGGTGCAAATTATCTATATAAGTAAACCAAAGGTACACACATTGGTAGCAGATTTCAACTCATTTTAGTAACTCACTTAAGGGTTTAATTGTACAGTCTGTAGAAACCTTGGGATTAATCTAAAAAAATAAAAGCTGTTAAGTTAGAAATCAGATATACCAAGATTTATGCCAGCTAATAATTCATTTCATTGTGAACTGGAACATGTCATGGGGCTTCCATCCTCCTTACTAGCAACTCACTTCATGGTGACTTCTTATAGAGATGACCAGCACTAGCTTTCAAGGCAGTACCATCATCCTACTTGCCTTTCTCTTCCTTGTAACCAACACTCTAGACAGTGTGAACTGTTTCTTTAACCCCATGTGTCCTGTCCATTCACAGAGATGAATTTCTGTCCCCTTTCCCTGGAATACCATCATTCTCATCTTAGTTTTTAATAATAGATACCTTCACAAAAACATCTAGACTGATGTTTGACCAACTAACTAGGTACATTGGTCAAGCCAACTTGATTGAAAAATGTAACCATTACACCATTTTTTTTTTTTTTAGTGCAAATTATCTTTAATCACTTGACATGTGGGTGTACTTTAAATGATGGTATTATAGTACAGAATAATAATTTATAGCTCAGATGACTCTAGTTTTCACCCAGGAAAAATAACCGGGCTAACCAGGACTAGTTATCTCCCAGCCATGTGTCAAAATAATTGTTAAACAGTAAAACCTGGGCCTCCCCTGGTGGCGCAGCGGTTGAGCACTGGGCTGCAAAGCTGCTCACAGCCTCTACAGTGCTGGTTCGATCCCCGTCCGCCCGCGAGGGTCCCACATGGCGTGCAGACCCCTCCTGCCGCCCGCTGCTCCCCTCAGCAGTGTACTTCGGTCCTTCTGCCTGCCTTGCTCTCTGCTCTGGCTCCAGTGAATTCTCTCACCCTGCCGTGCTTCTGACTACACACAGTGCCTGTCAGCCCATCACAGCCTCCCCGGGAACAGCCCATTATACCATGTTTTGTAGTGTATGATCAAAAGCATAATGTATCATTATAATAAAAAAAGAAAGCACAGCTATAAACTTTGCTTAACCTTTACTCTCAACAAAGCAGCGCAGAATGTTCCTAGCTACCCTTGTGTTGTTACCCCCATCTTAGAAATGAAGCAATTCAAGCTCAGAGAGATTGTCCAAGGTCACAAAGCTAGGAGGTGATAGAGTCACTACTTCATTGTCTTTACTCTTGACCTCTGCTCTACATATACCCTCTCCTTTTATCCTTGGTCTAGAGTCACCTCTGTATAGTTGAGCCCCTCTGCTAGCTCCGAGCTCAGGGATGGGAAAATCCCTCTCTGGTTCCTGCATCACTTCAGGTAGTAGGGGTGGATATTGAGTCTCTGGTGAGGTCAAGGGAGATTGGCCATGGCCAGTGGAAAAGTTCTTAGCTCATGTGAGTTCTTCCCTGACAAGAGCATTCTGCATGACTGCAGCTCCTTCTCCAGTGTTAAACAGAGAGGGCATTTAATAGAAGTATCATTAAAGGGAATTTAATTAGCTCTTTATATCCAGTGGTGAGGAGTAGGAACTTTTGCTAAAAGAATTGTCAAAGGTAAATTAGACCTTATGTAAAATGAGGCTCCACTTACTTGCTAATGTGAACCTTTTCAGTGGTTTCAGGCAGATACTTGTCTTTGTAATTACTGGAAATGAAGAGGAAGGTATTAGTGAAACTCTGGCTTTCAGTTTTCGAAACCTTTATTCTTTACTCTGTCTTGTTAAATACTGTGGACAGTGTCCATCTAGAGTTCATCTGCAGTTGGGTTAAGAAGTAGCAGCTGTTGAAGTACTGGGAGTATGAAGTAAAAGTTCACAGAATACTTGCTTGCTTTTCACCCTAAATTTCCCTGTTCTGTGATTTTGTTCAGGGTTCTTATGCCACAGTGTAGCTCTAAAGTTTGGAAACAAATAATGATATTTTACCATGTGTATCAAGGGTCTGTGAACTTTCAATGTTTAGACTCTCTGAGCTCTTGATGCCTTGCCCTTATTTCCAGTGCCTAGCAGCTGTAGCTGGTTCTTCTTCCCTGAATCGCCTCAAATGTCACCTCCTCAGGGAGACTTTCTTTGATTCTGCAGCCTAAAGTAGCAGAGCTCTCAGTCCCCACCTGCTCTTCATTGTTATCAGTTTATCTCTCTTGACCTCCACGCTGTAATGAGCCAATTCCAAGCCTACAGATGTAGTTAACAGAATTGCGTGCTCATATGTACAGAATAATAGACACAAAGTCATTTATAGAGGCCTGATTCATAAAAGGCCCACACTGAAAGTAGCCCAGATGTCTACCCATTACTACATAGCAATGAAATGAATAAAGTGCAGTGCACAGAGCAACATGGGTGACTCCCTTTTCTGGACAGAAAAAGGCAGAAACAGAATACTTCATGCTGTTCAGGCAAAACCAAGCTCTAGTATTAGGATTTGGAATATTGGTTTTCTTTAGGATATGGGTTTTGCTTATTAGTAGGGCTGTCCAAAGTGACCTTCTGACCTGACTGGAGAAATTGATTGAATGAAATCAGTTGCATTCTAGAGCCAGATATTGGCTCCTCTGTAAAATCTTCCCTAGTTCCCTGGTCAGGGTCAAGCTCCACCTTCTCTGACCCAACAAAGAGCAATTATATTGTCATTATTATATCTCCTAAGGGACGAGGGCCATCTTTTTTCCTCTTGGTTTTTTAATCTAAGTATCTGGTGGTGGATAGCTGGTGATGGAAAGTGGAGTGAACAAAGGAACTTCTAGAAAACACCCGAGCCAAGGGCTTCTGTCTTCCAGTCCTGTGACCTCTCCTTTTTTGCCTGTTTCTGGTTGAGGTTAGAGAGATGGCCTCATGTGTGCTGAAAGCCAAAGTTTATTGGCACCTGTTTGGCATTTAGAGTAAAAAAGAGTTGAGTGGTCTCTGACAGGTGATAGACTGCAACTGGACCCCCAAATTTTGGTTATGCTGCTACTGAAGGAACAACCACATCTCTGCCTTTTGGTTACGAGTGGCTGCAGGGAATAGGCCATGACTTGACTTACTCAATAGGCTTTGTCAAGAATATCTCCTCACAAATTATGGAAGGATCCAGTAAAGCTGTCTTCTGCCATACAAAATCGATTTGCTCGTAGTTGCACTAAAATTGTACTAAACCCACTACTCCACAGAGTAGTCTTTTTTCCTTTTAATTTTGAAAATTTCAATAAACATAAACTTGGAGATGATAAATGAGAATAAATAGAGCTTACAAAGCAATCTGTATAGATGCTATCAAGGAAAGTTCCTTTAAAATCTGCCCTTGCTGGGAGTGACTAGACCTCAGCAGTGATTTAGCTGACTTCCAAATGATAGTTTAGATTTCGGTGCCAGGTTTTACTAAGGAACCCAGGATAGCATCTGTTCATTTTGAAAAGAATTCTAGCAACTCAGCAGTGTCTTAAAACTTAAACATATATTTGGATTAACATGTTTTTATTGGGGCACGTGCACAGACACACACACAGATTTCCTTTGTGCTAATACTCTGAATTTCTGTCTTTCTGTAGCTGTGGTGCTCCCATTCAAGTTTCCGAAGTGAAGCTGCTTTCCTTTTCATCAGGGCAATTAACCGTTTTCCTCCCAGCTGAGGTGAAGGCCATCGGGACAGAGAATGACCGTGTCCTGCCCCTGCAAGAGCTGGCCATGAGGAGCCTGCATCACACCTACCAGAGTTTTCTAAAAGGTACATGGCACTTTTCTTTTTCTGACTCCAATTCAGTGAACATAGAACATTGTGTTTCACGGTGCCTGTTTGGGTTTTAATTTTTTCTTACTTTGGTAAAATATTAACAACAAAAAACTTACCATTTCAACCATTTAAAACCATTTTTATTAAGGTATAGTTGACATAGAACATTGTATTCATGTCAGTGTACAACATAATGATTGGTTATTCATGTACATTGTAAAATGATCACAATAAGGGCCTCCCCTGGTGGTTCAGGCGGTTGAGCACTGCGCTGTGGAGCTGTCCACACCCTCTGCAGTGCCGGTTCGATCCCGGCCAGCTGGGAGGGTCCCACGTGGTGTGGCAGACCTCTCCTGTCATGTCCGCTACTCCCCTCAGCAGTGTATTTCGTCAGTTTGCCTGTTCTATTCCCCGCTCTGTCTCTGGTGAATCTTCTCACCCTCCTGCACATCTGGCCTGTGCCCCGGTTCTTGTATAAAAATAAATAAATAAATCTTTAAAAAAAGAAATGATCACAGTAAGTCTCATTACTACCTGTTCCCATACAAATTTAACTTCAAAATATGTAAACTTCCAGATATCAAGTAATTAAGTCATAGGTAACAAGGCAAATATGTTCATAATACAGTGGTGCACAGCTGAGAGTTGCTAAGAGAGTCAACTATAGTAGTCATTTTTTTAAATGATTTATTTATTTATACCAGAGCTGGGGTACAGGCCAGAGGCACTGGAGGGTGAGAGGATTCACCAGAGACAGAGTGGGGAGCAGAACAGGCAGATGGACCGAAAGCACTGCTGAGGGGAGTAGCGGGCAAGACAGGAGAGGTCTGCTGCACCATGTGGGTGTCTCCCTGGCTGGCCAGGAATTGAACCAGCACTGCAGAGGCTGTGGGCATCTTCACAGCGCTGCATTCAACCCATTGTGCCACTGGGGAGGCCCATGGTAGCCATTTTTAAGTTCATTGGCATAAAGTACATTTACATTGTTGTGCATGGCACTTTCTTTATTTTTATTTTTATTTTTTTAAAGATTTTTATTTATTTATACAAGCACTGGGTACAGTCAGATGTGCGGGAGGGTAAGAGAATTCACCAGAGCCAGAGCAGAGAGCAGAACAGGCAGACCGAAGAAGTACACTGCTGAGGGGAGCAGCGGGCGGCAGGAGAGGTCTGCACGCCATGCGGGACCCTCCGCCGGTGGCCGGGGAGCAGCCAGGGATCGAACCGGCACTGCAGAGGCTGCAGGCAGCTTCGCAACCCAGCGCTCAACCACTGCGCCACGGGGGAGGCCTGGCACTTTTTTTAAATGAGAAAAATGTTTTAATATTTTATCAACACTTATCCCTTCAGCACCCCTTTTTGCTAATGCTGCAGAGAAGTACTCACTAGCATAATGGTCATGTGCCACATAGGTCAGTGGTTAAAAATTAGACCATGTGATTTACATGGAAGAAGTTGGTGTCCAGGAATGTGTATTTGGTAGAAATGAGAGGCCTGGCAGAAGCACTTTCTTTAGTGTAGAAAGCTCTTTTTGTGAAGCAGAGTTGGGTACCTCATCCGATAAAGTCGATTTCTGCCTCGCAGCCTCTTTATGTCTGAGACATTTATATCCCTAAGAGAGGAGGGCTATCAGGACTCTTTCTTGCTATTACCCTAGTTGGTTGGAATGGGTCAGGTGCTGTGCAGACTTCATGGATGTTGTGAGGTGCATACGAGAGATGGCCTAAGAAAGCACTAGGCAGCATTCATAAGGGAAACACATGTTAAATGTTTCAAAACTGCGAAATGTTTTGGTTTTGTTTTAAAAAAAAGTCCACACAAAAACACCTAACACTAATCACCCAGGAATGTCTGGTACAAAGTTAAGTTGCTTTAATAAATATATACAGAAAATTGTAATTATTCACCCATGCATAAATCTTGTTTTTCTAAATGGCTGTTGCTAAGTCTGGACAGATATAAAAGATAAGCAGGTGGCTTGTGTATCCTTCCAGAGATGAGTCAGTGATGTTTGGGCTTCACCTCGTTATGAGTTGTCTCTCTGCTAGATGCTCAGCAGCAACTCTGGGTACATTGTGCACTCAAGACGGGCTGGGTTCCGGGGGATTTTAAAGCTCTCTTTTGTGTAGTGCAGATGAAGCTGAGAGGGAAGCACCCTATTTTTATTAATGATAGCTCATGGGAGTGAGACAAGAAAAAGCTGGGTTTCTTTATGTTTCATTTTCTTTGATTTCTTTGTTTCCACTTTTCATTCTTTTCAGTAAATGTAGTTTTGCTTGATTGATAATAAATGTCCACTAGATTGAGGAAGAATGTAATGAAAAGCAGTTTAATCTTCAATCCTGCTTCTGTTTTTATTTGCTGCTTGTATTTACAAACCCTCTGTAGTTATGTTGATCTTTGTTGCTAGAGAATATTTGATCTTACTTTTTTCTTGCCTCTACCTCAGGACAGCTTCTGGATGCTCTTAGTAGCTTTAGGTTTTTCTCTTAGCGTCAAAAATGTAAAAAGCATCCTTCATTTCCAAGTAATGTTATGCCTTGTTAGATTTGCATTTAAAGCCGATCAGAGAACAGAATTTTCAACATGCAGAACTTTTAACAGAACTGATTTTGGAAGACAACAGAAAGATTTTAAGAAGCCTCATGTAAGAAATTCTCATTTTTCATTTGTGTGTGATTTTCTCCTGTGTTCCAGATTTGAACTTTCTGTCTCCGATCTCCTTGCCCAGAAGTCTCCTGGAGCTGCTACACTGTCCCCTGGGGCACTGTCACCGCTGCAGCGAGCCCATGTTTACGATTGTCTACCCCAAGCTCTTTCCCCTGAGAGAGACGCCGATGGCAGGGCTACACCAGGGGTAATCACATCTAAGTGGGCACCAGGGCTTACACCTGGTGAGGGTGGGAGTGTGGAGAGGGTGGAGGACATCCTTGAGGGCATTGGAAGTCAGCAGCTTCCCAGGGCCATGAACTGCCTCCTGAGACACAGCTAAATGATGCAAATGCTCTCCCAGGAGCACTTGGCTTCCCCTTTATTAGTTACTTTTTGGCCACATAGAGCACAGTTTTATTATATTGTAGTGCCAGGATGGCACGGGGCAGGTTCTCTGGATCCGGGCAGGCGGAGGAATCCTGGAGCCCTCGATGGCTTTTTCAGGCTTTTAATGGTCTTCCTACACCATCTTCAGTGAGGCAACTAGGTGCAAGGCAGGCATGGGGGTCGGAGGGTTGGGGGGCCAGGAGGCTGGTAGGCCTGGAGAATCTTTACTCTTCCTGGGCTCCCTGGCATTCTCTTATGGGCTCTTCAATGGTCTCTGCTGCATGGTGGTCTTCTGCAGCCTCAGTCCTCTGCTGCCGCATGCCACCCTCTGTGACCCCACCCTTATATGCTCAGTCTCCCAGCTCAGGTGTACCCACTTAGGCATGTCCGCACCATATCACAGGCATCTGCCTTTGGGCATGCATGTAAGAAAATGGGTGTCGATCATGCTCGTGGCAGGAGGGCGGAAAAAACTTGATCACTTCCATTTATCTTACTATATCATTTAGAGCATTTAGAGTAGCTTATTCTTTGTAGGAATGTGCTTCTGCTCTTCCCCTGTTCACAACAGTCTTTAGACAATGAGGAATGTGCAAACAAAATACCCGTTATGCGATGGGGCTAGCCAGCGCTTCTATTGAATTGGCATTGCTAACTGATCCTGTGTGGCTGAACTGTGCATGCGTGTTTCTGGTTTGAATTTCTTCCTCTTCTAAATGGCATTCTCTTGCCACTCTATTTTCTTGGCACAATGCCTTGAATTTCCTAAGAATGTTCACTAAGTAAACCCCCCAGACTGATAGCTTAAAAAAAGATCACCAGACAATTAAAAATAGGACATCAAATGAAAAATCTCCCATTAGCACAACCTTAGCTTATAAATTTTCTAAATTTAGGATTGTCAAAATTCCTATTTTTCAAAGTTAAAAAAAGCACTATAATACCTCACTTATCCATCAAATGTGGCATTTTGAATTTGAAGGTTTTTTTTTTTTCCCAGACAACTGAAGCTTGTTACCCCTATTCCATGCCAAGGAGCTTTTCCTTCCTAATCATTTTTGTAGAAACCATCTGAGGATTCGCTTTGCTTCCTTCATTTCCCCAGCCCTGCCTGGCAGGCAGCGTGGTGCAATTCAGAGCAGGGCCGTGCACAGCTGGTGTCTCAGCTCTCTGCCTGGTCCCTTCCGAACTGCATTTCTCTTTTTCTTGTCCTGAATAATCCTATACATCTAGTTTCTTGTTTCAGCCTTCTGTATTTTTAATGTGATCAAATCACCAAATTAGTGGAATGCCATTTAAATTAGGCTAATGTATTATATTGCATGCATAAAATCAACAAATTAAATAGACATGTCAGTGAGAAGCAGTAGGACATAGGGGTCAAGTGGATTGGCTCTGGTTCTAACACCTCTCTCCGTGGCACGCCTTGGGCAGATTACTTAATATCTCTGAGTTCACCTTTTCATCAATAATATAATAATAATGATACCTACTTAATAAGGTCATCATGAGGATTAATTGAGATGACCCATCTAAAGAGCCAAGGATGGTGCCTGGCATGTAATAAATACTAAGTAAATGTTAACTATTATCAATTTTGATAGCTCAGTGATTGTATGTGTGTGTGTGTGTGTGTGTGTGTGTGTGTGTGTGTGTGTGTGTGTGTGTAAGTAGCAAATGCTCTTCATATTAGCAAACTATAATAGGAAAATCTTACCTAATTCATTCAACTATAGTAAAATCCTTATGCATTGTTATTGCACAATTTCCTATAAAAGACATTTCCTTACTGAAAGTATGAAAATGAAAATAAAACAATATGGTCAGGATGCTCTGTTAGTAGCTGATAAAATTTTTACTTCCTATTTAAATAGTTAAGTTTTCCTTTTATCATGGCAGTTTGTGAAAATTAAGTATATGCTTCAAATGAGATCATTTTTGTGTTATCTTTATGTGAAATTTGAGCAACTTATTCAGTATTTGTATTTTCCATTTATAGTGCTACTTAGTTTCTTTGCTGCACCCTATAAATTGAGTGTGAAAAATTTTGTTGTCTCAGAACTTAAGTATAATAGTATTAGTTTAATAAAATGAGTATATCAAGTACATAGGACTTAGATAATGCCCTTTTGTTGAGCTAAGCCAGAAGTGCCTGTGTTTATAACAAAGATGAAATGCCAAGATGTAAACATGGTTTCTGTGGTGAGTTAATGCTAGGGCCTGAAACTGAGTTTGTGGCTTTCATGTGGTCCACCAGATTATGCTCCTTCTCATGTTGCTATGGAGACTATTAAAAGCATTGACTTCAGTTCTTTAAAGTACTTTCCTTTGTAACTGAAAATCAAATACTTATATCTCAGTAGCTTATTGCTGAAAATAAAATCAATATTTTTACGATTGTATGTTCTACAAGGTCTTGATAATAGTATGTTTAAGTCTTTTAATTATTCAATTCAGTTTGCATTCCTTGTCATGAAATAATACATTGTATTAGCCAATGTCTAAATTAATGTGGACATCTGGCTTTATTTTAAAAAGGAACATATTGAATATTCTTCTAAAATACCAAGTCCCTAACAAGTGTTAGTTCCAACCTAAATTTAATATAGAGTGAAATAAAAGGAAATTACAGTATTTTGCATAAATAATAAATACCCAATTCTTCAAATATTTAGAGCAGAAAAGAATGGCCAGTAAATTCTTAACTTTCAATCCTATAGGCATAGCATGTTTTCATTCCCCCAAATTACTGTTTATTTATTAAAATGGGAACTATAACCTAGAACATTATTTGTTAGTAAAGTAACATGTGTCTGGTTTTTCCCAAGCATATATGATTCTCACAAGTTTTATATTTAATAGGAAATCAGGCTACTCAAGGTTTTTCAGGAGTATTGTATTCATTAACTGGGACACTAGATGTAGTGTATGTATACACACACACGTATGCACACCTATGTGTATATATGTATACACACGTATACGTGTGTGTATATGTTGATTTTAAGGAATTGGCTCACATGATTGTTGAAACTGGCAAGTCCAAAGCCATAGGGCAGACCATCAAGAAGTTCAGAAGAGTTAATGTTGCAATCTTGAGTCCATATTTCCCAGGGTGGAAGACTGAAAATGTAGAGTTTCTGTGTTGCTGTCTTTAGAAGTCCTTCTACTTTTATGTTCTTAAGGCCTTCAACTGATTGGATGATACCCACCCACATGATGAATAGTAATCCACTTTATTCAAGCTTCACCTAAAAAATACCTTCATAGCAAAATCTAAACTGGTGTTAGACTAAATAACTAGGCACCTTGGCATACCCAAGTTGACACAGAGGCATTCAAAAGGGGTCTCTTAGGTCACTATGGCATGTTGAGATAGGAATTGCAAATGGCTCAAAATCCCAATGGTTTTTCCATGTTGCTAGGTTAAGTTTTAGCCATAACAGATACCATAGTGTGCATGGATGTTGATGTGGTTACATATCTTCTTTGATGCACTAGTGGCCTGGGATAGAATGGAAAGAAATGGCCTTAGGGGGCAGGAGATCCATCTTGGAAATTGAGCTGTACAGTACAGTAATAAAGGTTCTATTATTAGATTGAATCATGAATCATATGCCTCAGCACTTCCATGTGGTTCAACATAAAACAATCCCCACTGAATTGGTTTGGGGGTGGGGGTGTTTGAGGGGAGGACGTCTGGAACTGAGGCACAGGACAATTAGAAACTAGGCCAAGGTCTCTGCACAGCTGGGATTTGGACCTCAGCAGTCTTATTCCAAATCTGTGTTTTAGACACTATGCTGCAATTAGCTTCCCAGCAGATCACTATAGAGCTTGATGAAATTTTAAAATCGTACTCATAAGTACAAAATGAACAAGATACACTTGAAATATATATGTGTGTATAAACATGTATATACAGCAGGTCCTGGAATAACATCCTTTTGTTCAACACTGTTTCATTGTAGAGTTGCTGAGATAAAAATAATCCTGGCTAATGTCAAACAAAATGATGTTGCTTCAGGATCTGGTTTCATTATACCTCATTTTGCTTAAAGTTACAGTTTCCAAAAACCTGTGAGTGACATTAAGTGGGGACTTAACTGTAAGTACACTACACACACACACACACAAAACACATGCTCACACACATGTGTGTCTGTGTATGTATGTATACATGTATGTACATGCAGTAAAAGTTCAGACGGATATACATCCAACTCTTAACTATGGTAATCTTGGGAGGGAGGAATATGAGTAAAGTTATGGGGTATTGGGGAGAGGGGAACTTTAGTTTGCACCTCTATATATTTTGCAATCATTTGAATCCATTCAGTGAAAATGTAGTTTTATAAATACACAAGACAACTTGAAAAAATATGTATTTAATGGGGTGTTTTTAATCCTTTGCCTAAAACTATACAAATTAGAAAAGACTTGTAGGAAAAAATATATGTCCCATTGGATCACTTCTCTGCCCTTTGATTAAGCTCATGTGTAGTGTCTATTCTTATCAATATAATCTCTACTACATCCTCTATCCCAGGACCACATATTAAATAGATTTCTGGAGCCGGGAGTTAAACGAAGAGCTTGCTCTGCCCATTGTATGCATTGACCTAGTATTGCAGTACTTCCAAGAATGGTGCACACATCCCTCTTTTTTTGGTGGAGGAGGGAGAAGAGAAAATAAAAAAAAAGGATTCCATTGGTGTTACCTCCAAATAGTTCAGAAGAACTCGTCCACTCATTTAGTAATGTATCCAGTCACTCAGCAGACATGCAGTGGACATGGATTTCATCTGCTGCACAGAGCACATTGCTTCAGCCAGGGCTCTTTCAAGCTTAGATTTGTGGAACACGGTGCTTTCAGGAATTCGCCTTGGTCTTTCAGGCCAGTGTGATTGCCTGAGAGGGTCAGGTGTTTGGGTTATTGTTTTGCTTTGAGATTGAAACCCACAGAATAGAGACCTGGTCATCAGAGGGCATGCAAAACTACCCTGTTGTATGGCTCCCTTTACCTTTCAAAAAAATTTTTAATTCTCCCTTCTCTAATTTACCAGTATTATTTTATTTTTAAATCTTTTGTTTAATTCTCATCTGTTTAAGTTAACTATGAGATATTTCACATTTTCTTATCCTTGCTTTTTGTGGTACTTTTAGTATCTGTTAATTCTAGTATCAATAAGACTAACATCATTTGCACATTCGTGTTTGGGATTTGTTTTTTCCTTCAGCAAAGGACTATTCATAGGTATTTTCTTATGGGGACTTACGAAATCTTGCACAGGTAATATATTCTTTAACAAACTTAAGTCAAGTTTTCTTCCCTGTTTCTTTTTCATTCTATCACTCAGTAGTCTTGTATTGACCACCTTCTATGCATCAAACTACCTGATACATCTCAGTCCTCAAGTCTAGGGCATGAGCAGATCTAGTAGAAAAGATAGTTTATAATGTTCAAGGCTTTGGTTCTGCACAGAGTGTAACCATGAGTGTCAGTCACTATTAACATAAATTTTAACAATCAGATACAATATATCATTGCATACATAGTTCCCCCATCCTTAATATGTACACAGGCTTGGGATTCATCTGATCAACTCTAATAAATTTTTTTCTGGCTTGACATTCTGCATGAGTCAAAATATTATTTTTGTTTTTAATCAGAAAACACATTTGCAAAGAAAATCCCACATTTCTTATGATTTTTGTGGGCTCCAATATGTGCCAACAACATTGTGATTTGTGTTTTTAAGAATGGTATTTCTGTATTTTAAAACTAAGCTGAAATGCTCTTTCATCTGCCTTGCCTGTAAATATGGTCCTGATTCTAAAGCAGCAAATGTCACATCTGATGTTCTTTGTACAGTTTACCAGCATCTTTTTTCTAGATGTAGAATCTATTGCTCAGCTCAGTTTCTCCCCTAAAGCTGTCATGTCTCTAGTGCCACGGATCTGGGATTTAAATATATTAACCAGCACAAATCTATACTTAAGGCAAATGGACTTGTTGATGTACTTATAGTAACTTAGATCACTAATACAACAAGTAGATGAAATAAGATATTAGATGAGTCTTCCAGAAATAAATAAGTTCACACTTGGAATTTCTTTGTAATACAAACATGACACCTCCAGGTTACCCAACCTGCCCCCCTGAGCAGCTTAAAGAATTAGCAATCAATGAGTGAAACCACACATCTTTATAAAATTGGATTCTTTTACTTGGAACCTTTGTTTTTATTTTTAAAAATTGAGTGTTTATGATATGAAATGTATCCCTACTAGGAATGATTTTTCACTTAATCTTTAAAACTGTTAAATCTACTTCAGAAATGCATTTGCCATTTAAAATCATTTTGTATGAGTTTCATTTCAATAGTGAATAAATACAAATGTGAACACAAATGTGTTCATCTGACGCTGCATATTATCTGAACTATGTTTCTAACCAACTTAAATTTTTTTTAATTAAGGTAATACAAAGTGTTAAAACTGAAAATTTACATAATTTCCTCAGTTAAAAAGATCTCATAAGTCTTTTCATTTTCTATGCAGAGCAGAAGGTTTTCATTTTGATCAATTTAGATTTATATCCATTTAAATTTTATAGTGTTTTTTTATGTCCTGAGACACAAATATGTGTCTTTATCTATCCTCAAGTTTCTCTTCTCTGTTCTTTATTCCTCTCCATTGATCTGTGTCTAGTAAGCAATAGTAAGCTGTCGTGATTACTGTAGTTAAATAGTAGACCATATTATCAGTTAGAATGACACTTCTACTTTAGTCTTCTCTTTCAAGATGTGTGACCACTCTTGTGTCTCTCCTTTTACATATCAATTTTAGAATAGGTTATCTCTCCACCGCATAAAAGAAAACTTGCACTGCCTTTTCATAAGAAATGCGTTCATCCTATAAGATCAAGTGGAGATTATTAACACCTTTGCAATATTGAGTCTTCCAATACATGAACATGACATACCTGTCCATGCACTCTTATCTTTCATTATCATTTTATCATTTCCAGCAAACAGATCCTTAAAGGTTTTGTTAAGATTATACCCAAGTATTTCAGTTTCTTTATATAATTATAAATATTATATTTTTTAATTCCAGTGTCCTTGTGTTCATTATTAGTTTATGAAAAATGATTGATTTTTGTAGTTTGATCTTAGAGGGTGTAGCCTTGCTGAACTTACCTAATAATCAAGGAGTATTTTTTGTCGGTTCATTAGCATATTCTAGTTAGACAGTCATGTCATGCTGTTGAAGATAGAAATAGTTTCATTTCTTTCCTGGCCATCAATATGCCTTTTATTTATTTTTCTTGCCTTATTTCAGTGGATAGTACTCCAGTACTATGTTAACTAAGGAGGTAAATAAGGACATCAATGTGAAGCATGATCAAAGTAGTAGCTTATTATTTTTCTTTACAGATTCTCTTGATCAAATTGAGAGATCCTGTCTGGTCCTAGTTTGCTGAAAGTCTTTATCATGAATGAATGTTACATTTGTTAATGTTAAAATGAAGGCTTTATCTGAGTCCATTGATACAAAATTTTGCATAACCTTTTGGAATGGTAGATAATATTAATTTTCAAATATTGAACCAGCCCCTACACACACAGAATAAATCCCACTTAATCATGGTGTACAGTCTTTTTAATACTTTCAGTTTTTTGCTGAGGACTTTTGTATATATAGTCATGAGAGATACTAGTTTGTAGTTTTCTGGGTTTTGCTGGTTTTAGAGTCAAAATAATATCGACTTCATTAATTGAGTTGAAAAGTGTTCCTCCTATTTTTCTGAAAGAGATTATGTGAACATTCCTCTTTAAATGTTTGCTGGAATTCTCCAGTGAAACAATCTGTGCCTGCAAATTTCCTTTTTTTTTTTTTAAATTAGTTTCAGTTTCTTTAAAGCTATAGAAGTATTCAGGTTGACTATTTCATCTTGAATTTCAGTACTTTGTATTTTTCAAGGAATTTGTCTAAGTCACAAATTTATGAGTGTAAAGTTGTTCATAGTATTCCCTTATATTGCTTCACTGCTTGCATGATCTATAGTGATATATCATCTGTTACAATTCTTATATTAATCAGTGTCTTCTCTTTTCTTATCTGTGTCAATCTTGCTAAAGATTTATCAATTTTATTGATCTTCTTGATCCTACTGAAGTTTTAGATTTAATTGTTTCTTTCCATTTATTTTCTTCCTTCTGTTTGCTTTGGATCTATTTCACACCTTTTTAGGTTTATAAGGTAGGTTCAGCTACTGATTTGATTCCTTTCCTCTTTTGTTATATAAATATTTAGTGCTACAAATTTCTCTCTCAACACTGCTTTACTATCTTAAATTTTTTGCGATGTATTTTCATTTTTGCTCAGTTTGTATATGTTTTCATATCCTTCCATATACTCTTTACTCCATAGGAAAATTATTATTTGATCCATGGGGACCATGGGTCTACGGAAAGTCAAACTGTGTTGTTTTATTTCCATGTTGGGAGATTTTCAAGCTGTCTGTTAATATTTCCTAGTTTGCTTTCTTTTTGGATAGAGAACACACTATTTGATTTTATTGATTTAGACTTAAATTGCTCTTTTTTCTCCAGCTTCCTGGTGGAAACATAGGTTATTGATTTCAGAGCTTTCCTCTTTTCTAATCCATTTGTTATAAACTTCCCTTTTGTACTGTTTGCATTGTAGTCCACCATTTTCTGATCAGTTTTATTTCATTTTCATTCAGTTCAAATATTTTAATTTCTTTGGAGACCCTATATTTTCACCATATATTATTTAGAAGTTAATTGTTTAATTTCCAAATTTATGGGGATCTTCCAACTATTTTCCTATAATTTATTTCTAGTTTAATTCTTTGAATTAGTATGTTTATTCACATGTAAATAGTTATTGATTTAGTTGGATTAATATCTATGGTATGATTTTTTTATTTTTATATCTGTCCTTTTTTTCTACTCCCCATGTTTTTCTACTTCCTGTTTTTTTTTTTCTTAAAAATTTATTTATGCATACAAGAGCTGGGGTATAGGCTAGAGGTGCGGGAGGGTGAGAGGACTAACCAGAGACAGTGGGCAGCAGAACAGGCAAAGTGATTGAAATACACTGCTGAGGGGAGCAGCTGGTGAGACAGAGAGGTCTGCTGCGTCATGTAGGTCAGCTCCCTGGCTGAGGCTCAAACTTGTGCTGCAGTGGCTGCGGATTGCTTCATAAAACTGAGATACTGAGACTTAACCCCTTGCACCACCAGTGTATCTGCTTCCTAAGCATATCAGTTATACTTCTTTTTTAAAAAATTGTAGTGGTTTCCTTAGAGTCTTCAGTATACACTTCTAACTAATTTAGGTTCATCTTCAAATGACAGTATATTGTTCCATGTGTAGTACCGATATTTTGTAACAAAATATTCCTAATTCCCAACCTTATAGCATTCCTGCATTCATTTCACTATCCATCTGTTATAATCATGCACTACATTGGTTAAATAATTACTTTAATTATAACTATTCATTTAAACAAGTTAGTTTTTAGATTGATTAAAATTATAAAGAGATCTTATTTTAGATTTATTTTTTACTTCTCCAACAACTTTCCTATTTCCATTGAGACTTGAGTTTCTCACCTATATCCTTTTCCTCCTCCCTGAAGAACTTCTTTCAACCTGTTTTGCAGGGCAAGTTTGCTAACAGTGAATTCCCTCAGTTCTCAGCTTGACTGAGAAAGTTTTTATTCTCCTTTACTTTTGAGGATAATTTCGCTGGATATAGAATTCTGGGTTAGTGATTTTTTTCTTTGCACACACTAAATATTTCATACCATTCTCTTTCTGCTTGCATAGTTTCTAATAAAAAAAAAATCTACAGTAATTCTTATATTTGTTCTTCTGTTGGCTAAGTTTCTTCTCCCTTTGGCTTCAAGATTTCCTCTTTTTCTTTGGTTTTCTCCATATTTATTTTTCTTTTTTTGATATTTGTCTTGCTTGGTATTGTTAAAATTCTGGGTTTGTCATTATTTTAGTAAACTTCTTGTCCATTCAATTATTTTTTCAGCTCCATTTTCTCTCTCCTTCTAATATTCCAATTATGCATATGTTACACCTTTGAAATTGTTTCACAGATCTTGGATTCCAATGTGTATGTCATATCTGAGTTTGGTTCTGATTTTTCCTAGTCTCTTCAACATGTGCTTTTCTTGCCTTGTGGCATTTCCTGATCTTTTTTTTTCTTTTTTGTTTGAAAGCTGGACATATCTTACTGGGTAATAACAACTGAGGTGTTTTTTTATGTTAATCTGGCTAGGAGTTGGGCTGGGTTTGATATTCATTGTGTTGCAGGTGCCAGAGACTTCAAATCCAAATGCATATTCCTTTAGTGTTCTTGTTTTATTCTTTTTGCTTGATTTTGGGTCTTTCTATGTACTCCTCCTTAGAAGGTCTTCATTTTGCAGCTGTTTTATCTGTAGCCCGTTGTTGTTATGTTGGACCCCAGTTACTCTGACAGAAAGAAATGAGGGAGGAAAGTGTTCTGAAATTATGATTGTATATCAGTATTTTAGTGGGCCTGTGCTTTTGGGCATCATAAGTCTTGTGTTACCTAGCTTGTTTCTCCCTTTTAAGTGAGATGAGCTACAGCTCATCTAAAATGCAAAGACTGCATTAAGGGATGGGAAAATATAAAACAATCAGCATAGGGGTTCATGGGAAATCAACAGTAGACTGTTCTGTCTTCACCAGAGACTAGCACTTTTGGTGGGGAAACAGGCATATAATAGCTGGGACTGTCCCAAGAGGAACAGAGGGCTCATGATTCCCTGCGTGATGGTACCTAAATGGGAGTTTACAAAGGGATTCATCTGCTGTGTAGGAAGAAGACCTTCAAATTCTATTATTCAGATTCTGAAATTACCTCTAAAGCAATTTATGCAAATATATTTGAGGGATAAATTCCTTAAAATTATGATTTTTTTAGGCTCTTCAGTGTAAATATACTAGCTAAATTGGTGACATTTTCTGTACACGTGTCTCAGATTCTGTTGTTGCACTATTAACTCTAATAAGCAGAATTCAGAACATAATGTGGAAAAGGCTAATTTTCTTTAGTGGCTAACTATTGGGATATCCTGTCATCCAAAAACTGCCAATAAAATACACATACCTCACCTGATTCCAGTGCCCAAATTTAAAAGGAAATTACATTTCTGTTTTGTATGCTTTGCTGACTATACCTCACCCTTCATTCTGACAAAGAAAAAGATTGTCTGTAATGGAAAGAATCCTGGGACTTTAATCTTGAAGTCACAGTGTTTTTCTCTCCCTCTCTGCCCTTCCAGGAGGACAACTGTTAGTTTTGTGGCTTACTGCTGCTCCACCCAGTGTCTGCAGACTTTTGACCTACTAAGTTGACAAACATCGAGAGCCCCAGGAGTGCTGCCAGCTTGACACTGTAGTCCCCTGCCAAGGTGCACTGTGCAGCAGAGGGTCAGAAGAGTCCAGAACCAGGCCAGCAACCAGCCCTTCCATCACGTCCTGTGAGACGCAGGGACTACAGAACTCTCTGGAAATGTCACGGTTGAGCTACGGAGCTGAAACACCGTCTCCCTTCCCCCAAGTTGGAATATATCCTCCCCAAAATTAAGCCCCATTTGTCTTCTGTGTTTTTCTTTTATGTGTGCATGTCCCATATGCAAACTGTTTAGTTAGATTTGCCTCCCCAAATCTAATTTAAATCAAGTTTGAATTCCCCAAAGACTATAATCTGATAATATAATCAAATTAACTTCTGAACACATACCTTCAACGATACTTCTAATCTCCTCTCTCTTTTTCCCCCCAGAGAATTATATCCCCAGAGGTTGTTTTCCTTATTTTTAATGAATTCAGGAAACTCAGTGGCCTCAATAGTATTGAATAACAGGGGCGCCCTCTCACAGTGACAGCCCTGTTTATCACTTTTGCAACATATTAAGACACGTTTGTGAAGGGTTTTAAAAATAAAATGTAGATTGTAAATGAAATACACTCATTTTAAGTCTTTACAGAAAAATAATTTTTGAGATGTTTTCTTTCCTGATTGGACATTTTATGTGAGAAGAGTTTGCAGATCATTTGAGGCTTTAAAATATCCGATCATTTTGTTTCTAGCTTTAAAGATCTTCTGGATAATGAGAAAGGGGAGAAAAACACATGACCTCCAGCGTCTCTGGTTAGATGGGGTTATAAGTGAATTTACATGGACTTTGAAATATTTTTGTTTAATATGTGAGCAACTGGCTCCAGCTCTTCTGCTGCGTTTTTAGCAGGTTGGTTCTAAGTTTAGCCTGTGGGCATTTATTTAAACACCTGGTACATTAGATTATCTGCATTTTGACCCTGGATTTCTTATGTACTTAACACAGTTTTATCCATATCCAATGAGAAAATACAGAAAAAGCAGGTCCAAATCCAGCCTTCAACTTCTGCAATGAAAAGACCATAAATGGAAAGTCTCTGGATTACACTTGGACAGAAAAAATGCTCTTAATGAAGGAGTCACATATTTGCTCTTCCTTTGAGAGGATGGCATTTTAATGTTGCTTTGCTGCCAGATGTTCATCTAATTGCTGTGAAAGTATTTTTTTTTTTTAATGATAGAGTTTTCTGTAAAGCAGGACAAAAAGGAGAGCCAAGGAAAGTTTGCTTGGTAGGAAAATGATTTTAAAGAAATTTCAGACTTGTCAAAACTTTGGTTTATGGAATTTTATTAGCTGCCCTAAATCTGTAATGGGAGGCTAAAAATCCTCCACAGTTACTGACGAATGTGTGATCTTTTCACAGTCACACCACCTGCTGCCCAGAAAGCAGACTATCCACATAGAGTGGGGAAGGCAGAGCTGTGCCGGCTGTTCCAACTGTATTTTCACTGTTCTTCCTTCCTCTTGTCCCTTTCATAACTTGGCCTGTTCAGCCTTAACATTTCAAAGGCTTGTAGCATAATAGGAACTGAAGATCTATATCAAAATATAACCCTTCTTTCATCCTTTGGAATAATTGAAGTTTTCGTGTAACCTCTACATGTATATAAGTTGGCAGGTGAAAAATGTGGCATGAAACTTCACAAATGTGATTCAGGCCTAAGTGGCTGTTACCGATCAAATTTAAATGTGTCGCAGTGTTTTTCTGTTCAAACTTCTACAATCCTGTCTCTTAAAATGGAGCCAAGAGATACACTGACCTGATATTTCAGGGTTCTCATTGAGATAAGGATATGTAATACTTTCGTTTTAACTCCTTTGAAGTTTTACAAAGACTTACAATCTAAGAATCCTCTCTGCACCTACAGTAAACTACTGTTCCTTGAACGCCAGCAGTGGGCTGGACAGACACCCTTGAGGCCATTTCAGCCTCAGTCCTTGGGCAACACCCGCTTAACCGATGAGCTTGATTTGTCTTCCCTGGTGCTGTTCATTATAAAAAATCTGTACTAGATTCACCGGTGTCATTCTTAACCTTCTGATATTATCGAGGAGTGTGGTAGACTGGAGAAAATTTGCCCAGATGCTATGTATCTGAATTATGTCCAGAGCTTTGCAGAAGAGCTAATTCTAAAGTTATTATAAATATTATTTTCTTGAGCAACAAGGATGCTAGGTCAAAAAATATTTCATCCAAGTATAGTAGTAAAAAAAAAAACAAGCCCCTTGGAAAATACAGTCTGTTAAGGTAAGTTGATACCAAGAATCTGATGTGTGGTTAGTGGTAAAATTTTAAATCCAAGATACCTGTGTTGGGCACAGGTCTTCTGTGGTATAAAGGAGTTCCATCTTAAGTGGTTACCCTCACATTTTTCTTCAGAATGCCTAACTGCTGTCATAAAAGATTCTTACGTAACATTGTGTAGATGAAATGCTACATCTTCAATGAATAAAAAAAAATATTTTGAGCACACTTAGAAAACCTTTTTTAATGATGAATGAATGCACGAAAGGAAAAAAGGTTGGTTAACTGGTTAACAGAGCAGAGTGATGGAAACCTTTGTCCTTGTTAGTAGGCCCTCTTCTGGAGAAGCAAGGTTTACATTATACATCTTTTGTCGGGATACTCAACACTAACCAAAACCTTTCACACTCTGACTTGTCTGACTTGTTTAATCTACATCTCACTTTTCATCCACATTTAGCATTTTCTTCCACATTTATAGCATTACGAATTAAAAGGGCTGCTGAGACTTTGCGTGTAGTTTTCCCCAAAATAAATACCTATTTTGTATTGTCTAGGGACATTTCAAAGCAAATTTTTAAAATTACTAGTGGTAAAACTAAATTTCTGCTTCCTGAATTGAAAAATCAGATGCTTCAGTCTTCACTGTAGAAGGTTTAAACATGATAACATTGCTTTAACAGAAATCAAAACACTTTTATTCAGATGATTTATGAACATGGATTCCTAAGCTGGACCAGCACTAATGCAACCTGAGGTAACTGAATATTGATATGTAAATTCATTTCACAGACTTTAAACACAGTCTCTTTAGGAATCTTTTTTTAAAATGTATCCTTACATAACCCGAGTCATTTTATCATGCTCGTCTTACTTTTGTGGCTTCCACAAACTCCTGCTTTCTCCCTATGAGGCTCTCCTGCATTCCCCAAGAATTAAGTGAGTATCTTTTCTTCTCTTAAACAGAAGGATTTCTGTAAAATGTGTGTTCGTGAAAACAACTTTATTTCTCTCTAAAAATCATACAAGTCTCACCTCCCTAGCCAGGAAGTAACTCTCTGTGTCATCTGAAAATGGACCAAGTGTCTCTAGGCAAAGAGTTGAACATAGATGAGTGGCTGTTGTCCTTGGTAAGGAAAACAGATGACTTCACAGCCTAGGATGTTCTCTCTGAAGCATGACTATGTGGGCCCTTGTACTTAAGAGACAGAAAAGTACTGGCAGCCCAGGGTGGTGTCTGGGCAGGAGGTGCAACATTTGGAGATGGTTTCTGGATTAAATGTGAGGTTTGCAAGTGTTGGCCAGTGTTGGTCATGTTTAATTTGTCTTATTCACCTTACAGTAGAGTGAAAATTATCCTTGCTACCTATATTAAAGATTCTATCAGATCTTGTTTCTCATAGTGATTTTAAGACTATAATCAGTATTTTTCCTTTTTTTCCTTTTTTTGGGGGTATAAAGAAAGGATTTTCTGAAACTCCATCTGCTTAAAAACGCATGGCGACATTCACTTGGGATATTTCCTAAAGCTCCAGTTTGGTTGTTCTTGTAACTACCACTTTTTATAGAATAGTTCAGCTTGAACCATGTGAGTGCATAGCAATGTTAATGGTGCTATTAGCTTCATTGTTTTCACCAAATTTATTTTTTCTTTTTTTCAAAAAAGGTCATTAAATGCTTAAAGCCAGCAGATCTTATGGAGTAAGGACTTCCTAAGATTCTCCCCTCCATAAAAACGAGAAGAAAATTGATTAAAAACTGTCAAAAACAACTTTTTTCAAAGTTCTCAAAATTAACCAAAGGTTTGCAGCAATCCAGAGCATTAATTTAAGAGAAATGAATGAAGTTCAGAACAGTGAGCTCTGTGATATTTTAACTTGCCCTTACTGCCATTTTAACACCTTAAAGCTATTCCTAATTCTTTTTGTTGTTATTGTAAGTGGAATTGTTTCTTTAATTTCCCTTTTGGATTGTTCACTGTACGTATATAAAACTCAACTAGTTTTTAAAATATTAATCCTGTGTTCTACAAACTTGACCTTTTATTAGCTCTGATAGTTTGTGGATTTCTTAGGCTCTTCTGTATACACAACATCATCTAAAAATACAGTTTTATTTCTTTCTTTTAAATATGCATGCCTTTTGTTTCTTCTTGTTATTAACTGTTGCCCTGATTAGGAACTCTAGTACAAGGTTGAATAGAAGTGGTGGAATAGATTTAACTAAAGAAATACGAGACTTATACAATGAAACTCACAAAACACTGAAGAAATGAAAAAATTTCCTGAATATAAGGAAATCCCTTGTTCACGGTTTGTGAGAGCTAATATTGTTAAAATGACAGTAATCCCCAAATTGATCTACAGATTCAATGCAATCCCTATCAAAATACCATCTGCAATTTTTGCAGAAATGGGCCAACTTGTCCAAAAATTCATATGGAAGTGCAAGGGACCCAGAATAGCAGAAATAATCTTGAAAAGAAGAACTCACACTTCCCAATTTCAAAACCTATTGCAAAGCTACATTAATCAAGACAGTGTGGTGTTGGCATAAAGATGGGCATGTAGATCGATGGACTAGAATTGAAAGTCTAGATATAAACTATTGTATTTATGGTCAATTTAATTTTGATAAGGGTGTCAAGACTATTCACAGAAAGAATGAATGGTCTATTTAGCTAATGACATTGGAACAACTGGATATCCACATGCAACAGAATTCAGTTGGATCACTACTTAATACCATCCACAAACATTAACCCAAATGGATCATAAACCTAAATGTGATATTAAAATAACAAAACTCTTAGGAGAAAACATAGGTATAAATCTTTATAACCTTGCACTTTATAACTTTGCACTAAACAACAGAGATATGACACCAAATGCACAAGTGACAAATGAAAAAAAAAATCTATTGTGTTTTTCACATCAAAATACACAACTTTATGTCACATGGAGCACTATCAAGAAAGTGAAATAACAACTCATAGAATGAGAATTATTTTAAAACATACCTGGTAAGGGTCTAGTATCCATGGCATATAAAAGACGTACAACTCAACAATAAAAGGAAAACTCCAAATACAAATTAGAAAAAAGGTTTGTATAAGCATTTCTCCAAAAGAGATGTATAAATGTCCAACAAGAACATAAAAAGATGCTCAACATCGTTAATCATTAGGAAAATGCAAATCAAAATCATACTCCGATACCACCACACACCCAGCGGGATGGCGAGACACAGAAAGTGGACAGGGGAGAAACAAGCATGCCGGGTGTGCAGTGAGTGAACTGACCACTGCTGGCTCAGCTGTTTTGGAAAACAGATTGACAGTTCCTCAAAAGCTGAAACCTAGTTACCATACCACCCAGCAATTCCACTCCTAGTTGCCTTAAAGAACAGGGAACTTATGTCCACGCAAAAACGTATCGACGCAAATGTTGATACTAGCCAAGAATTAGAATCAGCTCAGATGTTCATCAACAGCTGGGTGCATGGATTCCTTGTGCTCCATCCATGATCAGCTATACCCAGCATAGAAAGGAGTGAAGTACCTGGACGAAACTTGAAAGCACCATAACCAAAGCCAGACATAAAAGATCACATGCCCAAAGATTCCATTTAAACACACTGTCCAGAATAAGCAAACCCATAGAAACAGAAGGGAAGTTATTGGTTGCCAGGGGTGAGAGAGAGGACAAATGAGTAGGGACTGTTAATGGGAACTGAGTTGTTTTTGGGCCACGATGAGAATGGTCTGGAGTTCGTGGGGATGCTTGAACCACCTTGTGAAAATCCTAAAAACTACCGAATTGCACACTTGAAAGGGGTGAATTTTATGGCATGTGAATATATCTCAATTAAAAAACTTCAAAGCCCGTGATGCAACTTACTTTACATAATGAACTGATTTTGGGTACACCAACGATTCTCCCAGAAGCTGTGAATGGCACCACTGTCACTGTGGCTGTGAAATGGATGGAAACAGTGTTAACAGCTCATCTGGCTTCAGAATCTGTTCTCACTGGTTAGCACCATCATCAGGCCAATGCAGCAGTAATTAAAAAATCCCAGTTGGTAAGTTTTCTAACTCACTGAATTCACTGATCAAATAGTCACCATTCCAGGGAGGGCCCCTTCAACGACCAAAGCCTGCTGAAAGTAAAGCACCATGAAATTAATGTATTTGAAAAAATAATCAAGTGGAAAATTCAGCAAAGTGCTAAGAAGTACTCTAAAGTCTTTGAATGTTATATTTGCTTTTTTCCTAGATTACAACACTGTGTTTTGGTACCATTCTTTACCCAGAGCAAAAATGTTCAGGGAGGTATTATTGATAAGGGTCCTATCTTTTCAACGTAATTATTAAATATTTCTGTTTATCAAGAGTTCCAAAACATACCTTAAGCCATGGCTGCTTATAATTCTCTGAAAATGATAAACATTGCTGATGGATTCACTGACCAATTACATACACTCTTAGAGGGGTGCAATCTAGTCCAGTCAACAAAAACTATGTCTAGATTTTTAAATAAAATGATAGGGATTTTAAAATTACATATAAGGATCAGTAGTTATAGACTGTTCTCTTCAGGTGTATGTTTTTTGGTTTTAATCAATAGGACCGGTAAAGAATTTTTTTAAACATTTATTTTATGCATACAAGAACCGGGGTGCAGGTCAGAGGTGTGGGGAAGGGGTGAGTGAGAGGGTTCACCAGAGACAGAGTGGGGAACAGAACAGGCAGACTGACTGAAATACACTGCTGAGGGGAGCAGCAGGCGAGTCAGGAAAGGTCTGCTGTGCCATGTGGGTAGCTCCCTGGCCAGGGATAGAACTCAAGCTACAGTGGCTGGCCATAGTTTGATAGTGCTGAGACTTTAACCCCTGCACCACCAGAGAGGCCCAGGACTGGTAAAGAATTTTATTTTATTTTATTTTATTTTATTTTATTTTATTTATTCTATTTATTTTTTAAAATTTATTTATTTTTGTACAAGAGCTAGGGTACAGGCCAGAGGCGCGGGAGGGTGAGAGGATTCACCAGAAACAGAGAGGGGAGCAGAACAGGCAGAAGGACCGAAGACACTGCTGAGGGGAGTAGCGGGCGAGACAGGAGATGTCTGCCCCGCCATGTGGCTCACCTCCCTGGCCGACCGGGGATTGAACTCGTGCTGCAGATAGCTTCACAGTGCTGTTCTTAACCCCTTGTGCCACAAGGGAGGCCCAGATTGCACCTATTTTTATAAACACAAAATCAGTTTAGCTCTTCTCAATTAGAACAATTCTGGAAAACTTTAATGTCAGATTCACTATGACTAGAAACCGGTGGGAAGATTTCATTCAAAATGCACTTTTCCGGGCCTCCCCAGTGGCGCAGCGGTTGAGCGCTGGGTTGCGAAGCTGCCCGCGGCCTCTGCGGCGCCGGTTAGATCCCCAGCTGCTCCCCGGCCACCGGAGGAGGGTCCCACATGGCGCGCAGACCTCTCCTGCCGCCTGCTGCTCCCCTCAGCACTTCGGTCCTTCTGCCTGCTCTGCTCCCCGCTCTGGCTCTGGTGAATTCTCTCACCCTCCCGCGCTTCTCACTGTACCCAGTGCATGTATAAAAACAAAACAAACAAACAAATAAATAAATAAAACATGCCTCTTTAAAAAAACAAAAAACAAACAAAAAAACCAAAATGCACTTTTCCTTGTGTAACCATCTAGTGCGCCATGACCACCTCCAGCTCTCCATACCAAGCTTTCCCCAAAACAGTTCCATTTGGCATATTTCTTAATAACAACAAAAAAGCTGGGGTTTGGTCAATTAAGCTTTTGTTTAAAGACTAAATTTCAGCATTGATTTACACCAGGTTCACAGTCAAAATATTTATAGTTTGTACAATAATCTGGGGTCACTGCAGAAATAAGATCTGGAATCCAACTTTCATTAAAAGTAGCAGCTCTCAGAAAGAGCTGCCTTCCTGCCAAGGAGAAATGGCATGGAAAAGCGGGGAGCGCAGGAGGGGCTGTGGCAGCTGCTGAAGAGCAAACAGCACCCTTCGGGGAGATTTCGTGGCTCACTTCCAAATGGCTGAGGAGCCCTGCAGACACAGGACTTGCGAGGAGTCAAGAGATTCCAGCAAGGAGAAAAGAAAGCAGGGAGTGATGAAAAAGACCCCCTCTTCAGGAAGCAGGCATGACTTTAAAATGAGCATAATTTTTCCAGAACCTATGTTTTCTTTCCATCCTCTTTTGCTTTGTTGATGCATATCCTGCTTAGTGAAAGAGAACCCAAATTTAAGAAAAATGCATGCATTTGGTACCAGCAGTATTCACCCCTGCCTGCAGCAACACACAGTGCTCCCCGGGCTGGCGGGCTCTGATTCTGCAGCTGCCAGGTATTCACCCGCAGCCACAGTTGTCCAGGGACTGTGGGCAGCAGGTGGCCTAGAGCACGTCTTGATTCTGTGGTGGGCAGGCTCTCCTGAGGCAGGACTTAGGGCCGCTACTGAAGCACCCAGACTGAAAACTAGCACATCTGTGCTGACCCTGTAGGAGGCTGAGCTAAGTGAGTAGTAGAAGATGCAGAGAGGCCCCGAGGTTAAGCAGATCATTGAACAAGCCCTGGTTGGTTGTGAAAACATAACAATTTCAGGCAAAATCATGCCTGGTTCTTTATAAAATTTCCCTGGTTTGGTAGTGTTTGGCAGAAGAAGAGAGACGGAGAAATACTGAAATGCACTCAAAAGGCAAACAGGGAACTGTGAGATGAAAGAGCAGAATCATCTGATAGTGCAAATAATCAAAACGCGAACAAGAAATGACTTGATTTCTGCCTGTGCCTGTGGCCACCTCCAGGAGCTGTCTTCACATGCCGCCTTCCTTGGGACAGTCCTGCCCGGACCCTATCTCCGTGAGGATCTCACTGATGTATCAGAGCTAGTGGAAAATTCCTTAAATAGCGTTCAGCACGCCCCGCCCCGCCCTACCTTCAGGTTCCTTGCAGGTTGCTTCTCGGCCCCTTGGCCAAACCTGTAGATAATTTGTGCAGACTGTGGTACTTTCTGCTTCAGATCAGCTCCTCTATTTCTAGGGGATGATTTTCATCATTTGAACATTCATATTTTAGTG